AAAAAAATATATATGTTATGTAAAATATTAATACAAGCAACTTTTGCCTTGGAGTCATGTTCAAATTCGTTTTTTTTTTTTTTACGAAAAAGAAATTACGGCAGGAACATGTTCGCGAGCTGTTCGCACCATGGCAGCGATCCGGACCTCCGGACAGGGATCCGGACCGTCCAGTGTCCGGTGTCCGGTGAACGTGTCCGGATCCCGGTCCGGATTTCAGGCCCTTTGGCCAACGGCCAATTTTTTTTTTGTTTGTCCTGGGCCTTTCGTCTCGCCCAGGGTTGCCAGCCAAAAATACGAGCAGAATTTTTTTGGCCCTGAAGGGGCATCCGGTAGGGCCAGAATTTCTTTTTTTTTGCCTGTGGGAAGTTTTCTTCCTTCTATGTCTCTGCCCGTTTGAATGTCATCCTTGCATCGTGGCAGCTTCGTAGTGGGCACAGTCTTTGAATTCATCATCCCGTCTTGCGAGTTCGGCCGCCCCCCCTCCCACAACAATGTTCGAGCTTGCATGCCCGCCACTACAGCCATTGTCAGAGGGAGGAAGAAGCAGCGCAACGAGGCGGCCATAGCAGGCAAGGAGCAGACGCGGAGCAGGCGCAGGAGGGCTGGCAGTGGGTGCAGCAAAGGCCGCATGAGGAGCAGTGCAAGCAGCTCTCTCTCTCTCTCTCTCTCTCTCTCTCTCTCTCTCTCTCTCTCTCTCTCTCTCTCTCTCGTCGTTTTGTTGTCATGGTCTTCGTCCTTTCTGCTCCTCCGTCCGCCTCCTCCTTCTCCATGTGTGCGTCCTCCTTCCGCTCCTCCTCCTCCTCCTCCTCTTGGTCATCATCATGTACTTGCTATAACCTCCCCCGCTCCCTTCCCTGCTCATGCCACGTGGCACCCTTTTTCCTTTTTTTTTCGGATCTTTGTCGTCATGTTTCTCGTCTTCATCCTCCTCCCGCTCCTCCCCGTCCATGTCTTTGTCCTCCTCCTGCTGCTACTCCATGTCTTCGCCCTCCTCCCCCTCATTTTGGTTGTTGACATGTACTCGCTATAACCTCCCCATAACCTCCCCTCCCCGCCCCTACCTGTGCCACATGGCCTTTTT